GTGTGTGTGTGTGTGTGTGTGTGTGTGTGTGTGTGTGAGGTCAGGTGCTTTAAAGCGAGGCCGTGGCCTCACATTATCAGATGTGCCGCTCGGCGCTGGAAGCAGCGGGTTTAATAAGCAGCGACTGATGTTGGCGTGTAATTCTCTCATATCGCCGTAAAGGTCAGGCTGCTTCTTAGCGTAATAAAGCAGTTAAATAAGGAGCTGAAATAAAACCGACACACCATTCTGTAATTGACTGTTTCTGACTTTATTATGGCAGCTTTATCTAATCAACCTCCTCACCTTCAACCTGCAATTTCTTTTACTATCCTTCTATTTCTGTCGCGCCCTCAAACGCTTCAACTAACCATATCAAATCTAAATTTAACGGCTCAAAAGCAGGCGCGTCGARGCGAATTACAAAAACTGCAAAAGAAAAAAAAAGACAAGGTTTCAGTGAAAAGCAATAAACTTTTTAATAATGTGGRGAGGATCTAAACATATCACATTATTCTTTAAAAAAAATTAATTACAAGAACTTAGCATTATGGAGCTTTAATAATGCCAACACTAGCTTTTAATTGTGTAATAATCTGAGGAAAAAATAAAACACATTTTAGTTTTCCATCATTTGCTTTCAGAACATGAAGCTCGGTTCCTTTGAACTTGTGCCTCCAGTTTCAGAACCCTGAAGATCTGCTGGTCTGAGAACTGATCCTCGTTCATTTATTATATTTACTCCAACCCTCTCTGTACATTAAATATATGTATAAACACAGAGCAGGAAATAGTTAGGYAGATAAGTTTGCTCACAAATGAACAGTTTCTCGTTTTATGATAGTTCCATTTTAACGGAGAAAATCAACTAAAAGTCCAGGAAAACACACAACCAGTGGTGGGCAGCGCTAACCCGAAAATTAGCTCCGCAATTTCTAAAGCACTTATGAAAATATTTAGGTCCGCAACTTCAAAAACACTTATGCCATAGAAAATTAGAGGAAGCTAATTTTAAAGCACAAGTTCAATTTGACACTTACCAGCTGACAATAAGTCATGTAAATTATATGCACAACACTGCCAACTAGTGGTGTATGAACTCTTTTACAGCTTAATCCTACAACCGCCGATTGCTGTTTTTCCTGAAACAGACCTTTAGCTCCTGGTGTAAAAATTCAAAAAGTTGTTGAGAATTGCTAGTTCGGCTGCTTCTTTGTCTTTTTCTTTTGTTTGTTGTAGATTTTTCATTAAAGAAGCATCAATAAAGCAATTTATTGGAAAACTGAAGCGATGCATTCTGGGTACATGACGGATTTGATTTGTGACGGGAAACGAAAGTTTTCCATGTAATTGCTCCAGTTGACCACTAGATGTCTGRCTAACCCCGTTGGCAGATTGCTTCGACCAATTACGTCAAGTATTGAGCTCCAGTGTTTAAACTTTTTTTTTAATGAACTCCGATTGTAAAGTAAAATAAATCAATATAAAATTTTAGTATGGATTACAAACGTTAACTGTTTTTGCTGGGAAAGGGAGTTCTAAACATTGCCTTCCTGCTACGTAAGCAGACACAAAGCATTGTGGGAAATSAGAACCGTGGCCCAAAGCAACAAACAGCAAGGATGTATACCTTCACAATAAGAGTGTTTATCTGGGAGGGCTGCTGTTGGATAGATCACATGTGTTGTGATTCATTGACAACCATACCTTCTGCTGTTCAAGATAATGATGACTGGTAGATAATTAATTATTAGTGGTACTGCATTTTATTTTTAGAAAGCACAAATCTGCTAATGAATTATAAAAATTAGTAAGACCGCTAAAGCGCAAATGAAATATTTAGGTCTGCAATTAGCGGATTTGCACTTTAGCGGACTGGTGCCCACCACTGCACACCATTCCATTTGATGTCTTTTATTCTGACCTCTCTATGGGGAAAAACAGACCAGATAATAGATCTGCACAAGACTGGAGTGGACTAAAAACCATCAACAAGAAGCCTGAAGGTGACYACTGTTGGTATATTATAATAAAATYGAAGTAAAATTAAATGTGCTGTAAAATCCTGGACAAAAATTCTTATTGCGCGTATTTGGTTTCCAATTGGAGCAATGTCCTGATGATGCATTCTATTTAAACTCTCAGGAAATAAGCAGATGTGRGTCTACAGCGGGTTAACTTCTGAACCAATTAAATTCAAGATGGACAACACCGCTGTCTGACCTCATTTAGCTAACATGTGAAGTAGTAGTAGTCGAGGGTCATTCAGAACATGTACTCTGAGCTCCAACAGATTGTGTGAAATCTTGGCGTTGATATCAGGACAACAAGGATTTTATTAAATTTATTTTATTTTTTAGTGCTTCATGAACAGACTGCAGATCTAAATCTATTTATCAGCTGTGGCGCAGCTAACCAAAAATTAGCTTCACTAACCACTAATCCGCTAAACAAAAATCTCAGCTCTGCTAATGCTAAACAGATAAAACATTAACAGAAGCTAATGCTAACCGCTAATACGACTCGTGGGACTGACATAACTTTGTTGTTTTCCATTGGTTTAACTTGAAGGTAGGCGGGATCATGTGTGGCAAATCGGCCAATCCAAACCAGAATTATAGCTTTGTCTAAATTGTGATATTTCCAGAATAAAAGCATTTCTTTGACTCACTTTCTATTTTCATAAACTCTGTTAAGTTAGTCAAAGAACAAATAAACATTTTATACCAGATTTTATACGTAGTTAATTTTTGTATTCACTATTTAAATGTTGTTAAATATTTTTGACACTCTTAGTTTTAAGTTTAGCTGCTAAAGATGCTACARGCTAACACGCACGGTGCCGGACACGTCCAGCACTGCTTGTAAGAGGAGATAATTTTTATTTAATTCATGATAAAGGACATAAAAATAGAAGTATTACACWTTTTAGGGGACTTAAAATGGAACTTAATTTAGCGAAAGCTAATCYGTCCACTAACATGAAAGCTAATCCGCTAAATGACAAGCTAGTTCCACTACTAGCGTGTTAGCAGAACTGTAACCACCACTGATATTCATGATTAAAAGTAATTAGAACACTAGAAGTCTTTTAATAGAAATAGCAGTAARACAAGCATACGTCCTAACCTTACATATTGTCTCACCTGTCCTCAGGAGGGACCTGGCGTCCTCTAGGAGCGGGACTACTCAGACCTCCAGAGGCTTCACCTTCGTCTGGGGAGTCCCTGCAGCTTTCTGCCCAGGGAGAGGGCTCTCTGCTAGCGGGAAGGTCTGCCTCCATCTCTGAACCTCGTGGAGGAAACCTGGAGGACAGAGGAGTCACGGGGCTCCTGTTGGARGCAGGGGACACCGGAGACAAAGACCGCCGGTGGAAGACTGGAGAAGGTGAGCTGGAGACCGGACACTCCTGGAGGACTGAGAGGCAGTGAGGTGGAAGTGACTGGGACAGAAAAACACCAGAATGAATATTTCATTAATGGTGTTTGTTACCTTGAAGCCAGCTGTGGTGTTCTGGGCTTAGACTGGTTCTGGTTCTGGGGAACACATCAGTTATGTTTCTTCTCTTTATTTTAGCAGCAGCTGCAGATTTAAAGGTTCTGGACTCACCTGTCACTGAGGTCCTGTTGTGAAGGTGAGGGCAGACGCTGCCTTAGCTCTGCGTTCACTCTGGGATTAGCTAAAAGAGAAAACAAAAACTTTCATAAATTAAATGTCTTCATCTACTGTATTTATATGGTTTGATGTCCTTTAATGTAAAAACATACCAGAAGCTTTTAACATTCTCCAAACAAACAAACTTTAATGAAAGATAAAAAGTCTAAAGTAAAAGACTAGCCAAGAGCTAGAAAAGTAAAAGTAGTAAAATGATAACTAAAAGCTAATATTAGAAAAGTCAGTTGAATAATAAACACTAAGAGTTGCAAAAGGCTAGTTAAAATCAGTAAAGAATTAGCTAAATGTGGCAAATGATTAGCTAAAACCTAAAGTAAAAAAAAAACTAGCAAAAAGTAGCAAAAATCTTTCAAAAGGGGCATGTGATTCATTAACAAAGGCAAATGGCTACCTAAAAAAATAGCTAGCTGGATGCTAAAAGTAGCAAAAGTCTAGTCAAAACAATCAGAAAAAGGTGACAAATGACTAGCTAAAACCTAAATGRAGCAAAAGGCTAYTTAGAAGCAYTTATGATGTWGCTAAATGTAGCATAATGCTATTTAGAAGCAGTAACAGTGTAGCTAAATGTAGCATAATGCTAGTTAGAAGCAGTAACAGTGTAGCTAAATGTAGCATAATGCTAGTTAGAACAGTAACAGTGTAGCTAAAGCCTGACACACACTGATGTTATCTTCTTCAGTTCTTAACAGGAAATGATTTAATCTAAAACTCGGCAGGTGAAACGTCTTTTTTGTTTTAACTTTAAAAACCGAATCAGTTTCTCTACTTTCTCAGCTGTGTCTGTAAAAACAGCTGAGTTACAGTTTAAACGCTTCGTTTCTTTTTCACTTTGAAACTTTTCTAATTTCCTGCTTTCCTACGCCCCCCCCTCCCCCCTCCCCCCCGTGGTTCTGATCTTTTTGTGGACCCAGAGCTAATTGATTGCAGCAGCACTCCTTATTATTCATGTACAATTACAGATGTGATAATGTGCTTAAATCCTTCTAAATGACCATTCATGCCTCACGTTCGCTTTGAAGTCTCGTCAAAGACGGAGAAATCTGCAGAAAAAAGGGAAAACACAAAGGCCAATCAGGGAAGCAATCTGCATAAACCAATCAAAGGAGAAGGGGGTGTGCGTGCCCCCTGCCTCCGCTCTTCATTTTTCTGGAATATCAAGTAAAAGTGCGCTCGTTTTTTAAGCTGTGCTTAATACATTTTGTGCAGAAAGTTTGGAGCGGTGAGAGCCGGGTGTTCCAGCTGACTGCATGAATATTAATGATGGTGTTACGCTGATTAAAGAGGCTTCAAGTCAAATCCAACACAATCCGCCTGTGATCTGGACCGCCATCGCCACGCCGCCGCCACGCCGCGCATGAATTTAGATACGGACATTAAGCCAGGGAGACGCACAGCAGACACACACACACACACACAGAACATACAGTAAATATGATGCACAACACGCACATAAACACCACAGGATCAGATTTAAGCTGCTTCCTTCTCCAGACTCAGATCTACCAAAATAAAACCAACCAGAGAGCTTCTCTTTAAACCACAAATCAACCATCAAACAGCTAAAACTATTTGACTTAAAGGATTAAACATTTAAAAACTAGCTTCATTAATGCCACAGTTATGTGTCGGCTGTCAGGGCATCAGGCTCAGCTACGACCACAATAAATTTTATATCATTCTGTAAAACACAGGACCAGTTTCTGTGTCGTGTCGACTGATCGTGGCGGCCATCTTAACGCAGGTGAAAGTATCCAGTGTCCACTGGTCCGCTACAAGAAACACAAGAAAATTATTCTTTATGATCACCGGCCTTTTGAGGTGGTTTATGATCAAATTAAACCTTTAGATGAGTAAAAACAAAAAGCACTAAGTCTTAGTTACGAGAAATAACCAAACAGGATGTGAAATACGCCTTCGTAAAAAAAACGGTCACCAAAAGAGTTTTTCAGACAAAAACTCAACATCTGACATTTTTTGTTTTATCTTTTTAAAATGTTAAAAAGTCACCATGAAATGTGATCAAATTCCCTTAAGCAAAAACAAGAACGCACAGCTGTGGGCGTGTCCCTGCGGACACGCCCACAGCTGTGCGTTCTTGTTTTTGCTACTTTACAACACGTGTCAAACTGAAGGCCGGCAAGCCTAATTGGGCCCTCATCAACATATTCCCCTGCAACAAAGGTAATTTTTTGTTTATTTATTTTTTATTTGTTTCATTTAAACAACAAAATACAAACAAAAAAAACCCCAATATCATTAAATAAAGAAGAATCTCAAAATATCTCCCCCCAATTAATTAATTAATTAAATAAATAATAAATACATACATACATACATACA